CAGTAATATTTTAAATTATGATGAGCAATGGCATCAGTTGCTTTGGGAAGAGCTGAACAATAGGTGCCAGACTTGTATCAATGTCCTGCAGTGTTTTACTGCCGGTGTATTGTGGGTTGAAGGAACAGAAATGGTGTGCCTGTCTATGTGCTTCTGCTTCTAGCAGTACAAGTCTGATTCTCAGGTGAAGTCGACAGAACTACATTAGTTAACATTGATTATCTCTATATATCTGCATTGGCACATAGAATTTATTGTAACTTATATTTGTATATTAGTTGTAGAAAGTATTTTTTATGCTTACAGTTAGCTTGGTGAAAACTTACAGATTGGATTGAGTGGGCAGTGAAAAATAAATGGTAGTGTCTATTTAGGGTTATGGATATATGTGCTTCTTATGGACAGCAGGCAAGGTGACACAGTAAATACGTCAAGGTCACATAAGCTCACTTGTGCTTTTAAGCCATTCAAGTTTCAGTTTTAAAAAGGGAAAAGTTATTTAATTGGCTGTGCTATAGTTACCATCCACCAGTACATATAAAATTATAGCTATATTAGCACCAACCCAAATTCTATTTAACTTATTAACATATATCATGATTTGGTTCGTTTGTTTTCCAAGGATTTGGCTATGTTCCTTGTCAAGTATTATGTTTTTTTAACCATTGTTAAAAATCAGTTGGAATTTTTTTCTAAGTAAATATATGTACTGTACCTATGATTAAAGCCATTGTGTAGATTTAAAAATTGTTCAGTATAATATTTGGTCAGTGTAATTGCAAATGTTACAAAAAGAAAAATGTGTCTTTTACTCATTAGATAGTATTACCTGATTCAGGAGGTTAATTTTCAAAAGGGACTTAGCAACATGGATAACAGCAGCTGTTTCAACTCCTAGGAAAGGCTAATACCTTGAGTCTTTTGTCCGTGCTATTGCCATGATGAGAAGCTAGTAATGCAGTTAGTGTTTCAAGAGAAAACACAAAAGGTGAGGTCATTGATTGCCACTTCAAGAAGGAATATTTTGATCAATGTCCTTTCCATACCCATACAAAAGAAGGGGCTAAAACTGACTTTCTGGGGAAAATTAGCAGATTTAAATAAACTGGCAATGGGAGACAGAGAATTTACAAGTATTAGAAAGAGTTAAATACGATGGAGAAAACTAATGGGACAAAAGTAAGTAGTAAGAAATGCAGATGAAGTATCCAGAGCTGCTTTAATGGTGTTACAATGTTTTAAAAGGTACATAGCTGTTAAAAGATGGGAATGCTGCCCTAAGTGAAGCAGCAAAAGCATCACTGCTTGGGACATTTGAAACTAAGCAATGCAGCTTCAGTGGCTGAAGTAAGGGACCTAAAATGTCTTTTCAGGTACTCATTTCCACAGTTTTGGTAAATGTACTGAAACGCCAATAAATGGCTGTGAATGTGGGAGGGCTGATACGATAGATACATGAGAACTGTGAATATCTTAGGTATCTCAGGTTGAAATTTGCCCCCGCTTCCCCAGTAAACATGCTCAACTGACACCATCATTGCCCAGTTTCTGAGAGAATTTTTTTAAAGAGATGGTTTATTTAATTTGTGAAGAAAAAGCAACACAATGTTTATCACCAAAATGTATTTTTTGAAGGTATTGATGACTACACATATTCCAGTGGTGATGTGAAAGCTTTAAAGTCCAATAGGAAAAAATACAGTGGGAAGACCCCACATCTTCTGCTAATGTTATTACCCTCCTACAGACTTGAGTCGCAACAGCCCAGTCGGCGGAAGAAGCGTGCTCTAGATGCTGCCTATTGTTTTAGGTAACTATGCATCCATACTCAGTATACTTACATAGTAATACCAGCCTGTGAGGTGTAATGCAGTTGCTTATCATGTTTCTTGATGGTTGGCATTGATATAGAGCGCAGACCCTCATTTGCGGACCCACACGGTCTGTGTACAGCAGATATATGCCCAGCAGTCTCCAATCCTGCAGAGACAGTGGCAGGTGAGGAAGGTTGTGGCCTTAGAAGGCAGAGGCTGAGTTCCATCTGGGATGATTCCCAGACCCATCAGGCCCATAATTACAGCCAAATTACCACCTCCACTGTGCTCACATCTTCACAGAGGCCACTCAGTAGAACCTGGAGAAAAATACTGATCCTCCAGGGAAACCATTAGCTTTGTATAAGCAAGTCCTGCCATGTCTAAGCATCTGATTTCAGTTACAGTATAAGCTACTATTGATGTGATTTGGTTGTGAATTTTTGGGACTCAGACTTGCCTGCCTGTAAAGCATCATTCAGGAAGCAAGCAACTAGGTTATTTTTATTCTCTGTGTTGTCTTTGTTATGACCGATGTGTTTGTCTGTATTTTATTTCCCAGGAACGTGCAAGATAATTGCTGTCTGCGTCCACTTTATATTGACTTCAAGAGGGATCTTGGCTGGAAATGGATTCATGAACCTAAAGGGTATCATGCTAATTTCTGTGCAGGAGCCTGTCCATATTTATGGAGCTCAGATACTCAGCACAGCAGAGTAAGTAATGATTTTGCTAATTTTCAGCTTCTGTTTTATAACTGCTGGGTGAAATATGTTTCTAGGACTGACATCAGCACCAATTCCCAAAGCTTGTATTTGTTACTTCAGTAACTAAGGATTATGAAATGTGGCCCTACAGAGAGACCTGCATATGGCCTCCAGCTAGTGTTGAAGCAGTAGGAATGTATTGGCCCAGAGATTTTTTTGTAATGTGTTCTTCGATAGGACATACGAATGGATCGAATGCTATCTGTGAGTATAAGCGTGGTGTAGCTTTGGAAGGCTGCCTGGGAAGGGATAGTTCATTATAGAGCATGAGTGGAGGATGGCGCAATGAGTTCGGTCAACGAGGGCACCGAGGGAGGCAGTATCAGAGTAACAAAAGGGCTGAGTCATACCACTGATTATCACCTACTTTTATGACCTGCCATTTTTCATTGTTATTGATAAGCTACCATGCTGAATTTCATGAAAATGTGCTGATAGATGTTCTTTTACCTCAAAAGATGTATTCATTCTCATACTTTGAAAACTTATATGGAAAGGAGGAACCTTTTGTCTGGGATGCCAAAGAACTGATAGTCATCTGAGATAGGACCTTTTATTTCAGGGATTAGATGTGGTATTTTAGCCAACTGCTTTAGGATGAGTAGTATTCCGCTATGAAGCGCTTATTTCTCTCAGCTGTCAATCAGGATGTCTAGACAGTAAACGCAAGAGGCAGACGTTTGCATCGCAGTTGTCATGTAAGAATTTCACCCTCAGGTCCATACTAAGAATGATGTGTCCCCTTTTTCCAGCCTCCCTTAATAATACCAGATCAACGTCAGCCAGCAGGGAGAGCTCTTCATGTCCAGGGTGCAGCTTGCTTTCGTTTTGGTTTGTAAATCTATGATGGCGTGTTCATCCTGAACTTACAGACCCAGGTGTAGGCATCTTTCATACCCGTTACTGGCTGTAGTAACAGTACATTGTACTGTTAGCAGTGTCAGCAGACAGAGGTATAAATAAGGTATGTTTCCATGCTGGTATGGAGTAGTAGTGTACACAGCTTGGAGCAGCACTTGTTTTTAAAGGAAAGAGGAAGAGTAACTGTCATGGTCACAAATATGTGGTTTGGGTAGTTGCCCAAGGAGTCAGAAGTTGCTTAATAAAGTAGTTAGTGTTGCTGTCCTGAAGAGATCTTCTGTCTCTCTAAGCTGCAAACGTTGTGTTGAAGTTCTAGGAAAAGGTCACTTGGTGTTTGGCTAACACATTAATGGCATCCTCAGAAATACCTATGCATCATCAGCGGGTAACCCTACATACTTCCCTTGCAGAGAACCATGCGTATGAATCCAACGTGACATAAAGCACCAGCGCTGCTAACTTCACTGCAGCTGATTTTCAACAGGAGTAACTGCAGCTTGAGTCCTGGTGCTTGCAGGGTGGCTTTAATGGACTTAATAAAACGTAGCCAGAGAGGAAAAGCAGAGGAGTGCTTGTGCACTGAAGGGGTCTCTTCTCCCTTTGGGGCACTTACAAAGCCAAAATCCTGTAATAGCCAATGGTAATATGAAGGCACAGATAAAAACCTTTCCGTTTCTTCTTTCCATATCAGTACAGTGTGAATGTTGATTCAAAGATCTACATTTTGAAGGCAGGCTCCAGGCATGTAACTGTTTTGAGGTTAAAGACTGTATGGATAAAATCTTAGGAAACTCGGGCAGATTGTGGCATCAGATTGAACTGGAGAAGTGTGAAAAATAGTAAAATCCCGGAGTCTTCGTACTGCTTTCAGTGGGCTTTCTCTCGGGCGCTGTGGGAGGAAGTGATGCAGAAAGGAATTTGCTCTGCAGTGGCAGGAAGGCAGAGGTAGCTGGCTTTAATCTCTCTTTTTTCCTTTCTCCTTCTAGGTACTCAGCTTGTATAACACCATAAATCCAGAAGCTTCTGCCTCTCCATGCTGTGTGTCCCAGGATTTGGAACCCCTCACCATCCTCTACTACATTGGCAAAACACCCAAAATCGAACAGCTGTCCAACATGATCGTAAAGTCTTGCAAGTGCAGCTAAAGGATACCCCTGAAACAGCATGACGTGTGTGTTTAAAAAAAAAAAAAAAAACAAGGAAAAAAACAAAGAGAGAGCGAGAAGGAAAGAAAGAAAAATGAAAACCCAGGTTCATCAGTGTTAAAAGAAAAAAAAAAGAAGAAAAAAGCGGTACTAGTCTGAACTGTTTGAAAGTTTGTTTTGTTTTGTTTTTTTTAAACTGGCATCTGAAGCAAAACATTGAAGGCCTTTATCCTACATTTCACCTACACATAGTGTGAGATAGACAAGAAGCAAAGTTAAAGAAAAAAAACCTTTTAAAAAATAAACACTGGAAGAAATTTGTTAGTGTTACTATGTGAAAGGAAAAAAACAGGAAAATCCCATGAAGTGGAGTTGCTGTATCTGTCCCGTGCCTTACTTGATCTCTCTGTATTGTTACGCAATAGGCATCCTACCCATTCCTCTTAGTTGTAGAGTTAACAGTGCATTATTTATTTGTGTGTAAAAACTATCAAATGAACATTTCTGTATCACCATTGGAAAAAAGAAAACCAGCCAATGTGGACAAAGTGGAGACCAAATAAGCTGCCAGAAATACATATAGAGCCTAAAGGAACACAAGTTCAAAAGAATCAGAAAAGTAATGGTTAGTTTAGTTTGATTAAAATAGAAATCAGTTATTACATTATTGAGAAACTCTGCCTTTAAAATACCTTATTTTTCATGCCAGCTGCCTAGAGAGGCTTCTTGTAAGGTCTCAAACTCTTGTTTTAAATACTGAATAATTTACTAATAAAGGACACTCTGTTTCAGTCTCAAAGACAAGTCTATAAGATTTTTTTTTTTTACTGTAAATGATCTAAAATGTCAGTTTAGTAAACCAGTGAAATATTTAACGTGTACTGGTCTAATCTTCAGACCTTAATAAGTTGCTGTATAGCTATGCTATGGGATTTTTTTGTTCTTTTGGTATATGTAACCATACCTAGAGTATTACAATAGGTGGTTAGTTAAAAGCCAGCTTAATTGGAAACATATCTGTAGATCTCTATTTGTAAACTATTAAAAAATCAAGTACTTTATGTGTAATGTGTAAATTTTCACCATATTTTTGTACTCTGTAATACTGTCAGCTCTCATGAGTTTGAATTTGAATTTGGGGCTCTTTTTGATCACTCAGAATCACGTGTTTCCCTCTAGCTGGCCAGTATGAGTAGAGTCCCTATATTTTGACTTGCACTACAAATACATGTTTTATAATAATTGCTATACATGTGCTTTGTATATTGTTCATCATTATGACATAAGCTACCTGACTCCATTTGTTTTTCTGTTTTATAAAAAGGATGGATTAAAGCAATCTCTCCCCCCCTCCCCTTCCCCTCCCTCCTCGCTTCGTAACACTTGAGTCGCCATGCGGTTCGGATTCCTAGACCTTTGGTTTTTTTCCTTTTGGCTATAGCCATTCAAACAGATGGGCAGGGAGCGAGATGTTGCAAGAAGAGATGCCCCCAGCCTGGCTGAGGAGAGGCAAACTCTTGCAGAGAATGACATTCACCACTGTGCAGAAGGCTGGTAGGAAGCATGTGCGGCGGCGATGCCCCAAATGGGGTGTGAGCGGGATCGGTTTGCGGTTAGAGGCCGTGCATCGACCTTGCACGCAGCCGGGACTTGCCCCGCAGTTAGTCCGTGGGACTGATCCTGCTGCCACTGCAGGTAACAGGTTTGCCTTCAACTTCTGCAGTGGTACAGCAGGCCCCTTTAGGCTATTGGTGTGTGTGTAAGGATTTGCAGGATCAGACCCTTGATTTTTGTGTTTGCCAATTTTTTTTCAATTGAGTTCACATTAAAGCTTCTTTTAAAAAAGGAAAAAGGAACATGGGGTTCCTAGGATTTTGTTGTTGTTATACATGTTTAAATATTGTAGAGGGAGTAAAAAAAAATAAATTCCCACATCACATACTTCATTTAAAAAAGCCCCAACCTAGATTAGCAAAAAAAATCATGAAGAAGGCGCATTCAGTTCATTTCATTTCACATGATGAATGGTTTTGCACGGCAAAGCTGGAAAAACTGCATTAGAAACGTACTACTTGGATGAGAAGGACATTTTCTGTCATTGACCCGAGCGGTGTCAGGAGGACTCTGCTAAGCTTGATGTTGTCAGCTCCAGTTTTAAGAAGTGCAATTTCTTTGGCTTCAGCAGAACACTGATGCAAAACTGAAGTACCGCAGCGGCTTGCGCATGCAGCTCCTCGGGACTTTGGTAGAGCCTGTGCTTATTGCCTAGATGGAAACGTAAGCCCCACAGATGATCTAATCCCACCCGTTGACTCAGCGCAGAGGAGGAGGTATGTTAGACTTCTGATTTATTTAGTGAGTTGAGAAGAACACGTGAAAAATCTGTCCTGCTAACACTTGCTTGAGCCAGACTTACTCCAGTGAGAAGATGCACTGAACTCAGTGAAACTCCTCAGGGTAGTAAATACTCTGGATTTTGTTGTGTACGGCAGCAAAATTAGTTTTATCAGGTTCAGTATGAGAACTGTATTTTTGTTGGACAGGAAAGGAGACAAGGATGAACACATTTTAAAAAACTTTAAAACATTTTTGCAATTCTCTGCTATGGGAATGAAGCTCAAAACCAGTTTTGAAGCTTTGAAAAAGTGGAACAGGTGATCGCATAGTTGTCCAACTATACTCACTATGCGCTGGACGCAGCTGAAAATTTCGGTTTGGGTTTGGAGTTTTGCTCTAAATTTAAGTATAAAACTTTATTTCTGTAAGTCATTACCTAAAGATAGAATACTTTTTTTTTTACCTTTTATTTCCTCAAAATGCACTGATAGTATTTGAAATACTCTATTATAAAGTTCCTGCAAATTCTTTTTTGTTTATTAGGCATGTATTTCCTGTTAATTACCAAGGATGCTAGGCTTGATCCTACAATGTGCAGAACTCATGGGTGAAACTCCCCTCTACAGAGTGGGGTAATGTGAGTCCTAAGCACTGCTCAGATCTGATGTAAATCCCCCCCGAGTGATGTTTAGATGGGTCTGCAACAGCTCAAGGACTTCGTGCCAGAAGGTATATCATGACGAGGTAATTGCCAATAGCTGAGCAAAGTCCCAGGGAACTGGTGGGAAATGTTCAGCACCTTGAAAGACCAGACCCAAGAGATTGACTGGGGCTGAGGGGGAATCTTAGCACTTAGCTGGGTGGCGTAGGGCCAGCATTTTTTATGTGTTCAGCATCAATACAATTGTATGGTTGGCATGGTTTAAAGGAGAAAAAAAAAGGAACTGAAAGGACAGCTGTGTTGTACTTTGGTGATCGATTACTCTGTATTTTAACACATTGTATGTCTGTTTTTGTGGTGCTCTAGTGGTAAATAAATTATTTCAATTATATGCTGGTGTTGCTTTCGTATGGCAGTGTTCTTCTGGTGTAGGTGATTCCTCAGCTGTGGCTCAGCTTAATCCCTGAAAAGCCTGATCAGGTGTGTGACTTTAGTGTGTGTGACCTTGACGTGGTCTGGCATAGGCTCAGGTGAAGAACAGCCATCCAGTGTGAGCGTGAATCTTGTCTTCTCTGAGAATTGCTTTCCCCTCAGCCACTGCAGCATGTGTCTTGGTCCATAGACAAGAAGTGGCTTCTGGCTGACTGCTCTGAGCGTGCGTGCACAGGACAGGCACTACCCTGGGCAGGAGCAGTGTTACCCCACAGCCGCGCTGTGCCTGATCCCTCACCAGAACCATGCCCTGGCAGTCCTGTTACTGCAGGCACCAGTTTTGGTGGCTTTCCTCTGGTAGAAGGTATCAAAATAGTTTCTTCCTCATTTCTGTAGTGCTGTGGGAGGTGAGAAGGTGATCTGTTTTGTGATGCTCATCCGTTAAATGGTCCCTATGTCATTGGATCCTTCAGTAGAGCTCAGTGAAGCTGTTGGTTTTGTATGTCATACAAAATAGTCTACGATGGGATGAGATGGGGTATTGGAAGAGAGGCAACAAGTTGAAACACAGCAAATTCTGGCTTCGTGCAAGGAAAATTATTTCTACGGAGGTGACCAAACCCTGGAACAGGTTGTCCAGAGAGGGCATGACTTCTCCATCCTTGCAGATGCTCAAAACCAGCCAGGTGAGGCTCTGGGCAGCCTGCTCCCACTGCGCCTGCTCTGAGCAGGAGGTTGTGCTGGAGACCCCGCAGACCACTGCCCCCCTCCGTTAATCTACAAACAGTTGTGGTCCAAACCAACCACTGTTTCTGTCACTGGCTAAAAGAGCATAAGAAACACTGGTGCTCAACTGCCTCAGCTATTTCAGTTTGTCAGCAGCAGCCACATAGCCACATGGAGGTGGTTTTTTTGACAGAAAATAGGATTCCCTAGTTTGTTGTAAGTCTCTCTCCATTAACTCTGCAATATGTGACTGCATTATCTAAGCAAATAAGAATTAAGGAGTCTGGTATTGCAGCTTTACTTTATCAGACCTTCTCTAGTCACTTAAATAAATAAAACTGATGGGAGGAAGGGCTGCAGGATTGAATCATTACTTTTAAAGTTGATAAAATCATATATGAAAATTCTTCCAGACCAGGGACTGATGATGAGAAGTGGTGAACATCTGCTCTTCCTGGTGCCTTCTCTGGGATCTGAGGGGTGCATAGCATTTCTTGGCATGAATCAAAGAATATGTTTATGCCAGATTGTTTAATGTTGTTGTGATAGATTAGAAGAAATGGACCCTGTGGTCTGTGAATATGTGTTTAAGAATGCAATTTGGGGTGAGCGTTAAAAAATAATCTTAGGGGCCACAGTTACGCTCCAGCCTCACAGTGAACTGCCTTAATTGATTTCAGTGAGTCTATACTAGCATGAAACTATGGTCCTGCAAAAGTTGCCAGGTACTGATTTGCATTCTAACTGTTTGTAGTTACCCAGCTGAGTCCTTTGACGTGAATGTAATCTGTCAGCCCCATTCTTACCCAAGGTAGCCCTCGCGCAGTGAGGTGAGAATAATTTGCAATTCTGTCTGCTATATTTCTGAAATCGGTGAAGGACAGGAGGGTTTGAGGGGGAATGCTGAGTGGAAATTTTAGATGGGAAAGTGGTTGTAGTGCCTATAACTAAAGAGGAACAAAGTGGAGGGAACACAGTGTGCTCAGAGAGATTTTATAGCGTGGGGCTGAAATGATGGAAGCTCTCCCACGATAATGAGATTTATGCAGAATATTTTGATGCTGGGCTTGTCTTTTCCTTTCACTAACACAGCCTCTATCAGTGAAGCCCTTGCAGCTCTGCTTGAATCAAATTGTGGTTAATAAATGTGGAATATTCAATATAGGAAAAAACCCAAACCATGTAAATGTCTTGAAAACCGTTTTTTAGGCCAAAATCTGCCTCTTAGATCAGACGGAACAGATTCTGTGAGGAGCCATGAGTTCTGGAAGAAAATAAACCGAGAGGTTATGTAATTATATGTGGTTATAAAGTAGATGTGAAGTAATGTAGTTGGCTTGTCAGTGGGTATGGGTGTAACAGTAATTTCTTCATCTGTATAAAAATAAAATTAAATGGAACAGAAAGCTGATGAGAACTTCCAATCAAATTTGATATGCTCATTTAATGAAGTAACCTGCTGGAATCTAATACAGAACCCCTAGGGTATAAACCTTTGTTAAAACATACGGTGGTCCAAGAAACAAATATTTCCTCTGAATGGGGTGTTTTAGTGCCAAACCAAGATGATGGCAGGAATGGTCAGTGGTCACTGATCCCTGGGTCTCGGTGCTGTTTGCACATACTGTAGGCAGGTCCCAATTAAAAGATCCACGCAACTCATACCAAAAACATTTGCCTCAAGAAAGGGAACATGGAAGATACAAATGGCAAATGGGACCCAAGTCTCTTTTTCTTCAGTGAAGTACACCATGAGGCTCAGAAAGGAGTTCTTACATACTATTTCATCCAGCTAATTAGAGACAGATCAAACCAAAATGTTAACATGTGAGTCCACATTTATCAAAGTCAAAAATCAAGTGTTTCGGGCTCTGATGTAGTGTTCAAGCCTGAACCACTTGTACAAAATTCAGTTAGGTCCAATCCCTGCAACTGGTTTGTAACCAAACTTTAATCACCAAATTCACTGCTGGGGTGTGTAAGGCTTTTAAGCTTAAGATGCCAGAGGTTCTTTCACTTGAATAGCTCTGAGCATGCCAGATGCAAGGCTCACAGAACAGTCTTGTGGTTTTTTTACCAAGCACTAAGATGTGTAAATTTAATTCCTATTCATAGTAACGGCAATCAGAGGCAGTCAAAGTGTCCCTACACATCAAGGTGGTTCCCAGAGCACTGGTAGTGGGACAACACACCTTAGGTCACCTCATT